GGTTTTCTCTCAACGAATAAATGAAATTCTAATGAGTTTTGAATGCTTGAATTTATATCCAGTACCTTGAAATATCTTTCCTATAGATTTGTTCTTTTTGTAACATCAAAAATTTGATGGATTTTGAGGGCTGGATGTTCGTATGAAAGAAGTAGAAATCTTCTCTTTCAAATTTCCAACGACTCATAGCTCCTACTATCATATGTTATTTAAGGTCTAATTCGATCAGTTCGAAAGAATATATGAGAAAAATGGTCGAAACTTCTTTGTAAGAAGTAACGAATCTTCAAGAAAAATTCACTTGTAGAAATTCCTATTTCATATTCAATGTCGCAAAATATTTTCAATGTTTGATTCGTTATTGTTGGATTTTCATTGTAATCAGATACTCCAGTCAAGAGAAACATTATTTAATTTCCCTTTACTTTTGTTCTATTTTATTCAAATTATTCTCAGATCAATAAAACTTCAAGAATACATTTTTTACTTTTTTTCTTTCGATTGAATTTAGATAATAAATTGTCTTTTTCTTTTTTTTTCAATAGTTCATAGATGGTCGAAATTCAACATGTACCTAGTATATGATACGCAAGTGTTCTCATCTACTTTTAAAGAAGTCGAACAGTACGAGAAAATGGATCATTCTTTCATAGAAATAAATTCTTTTATTTGATTGAGCGTTCTCGGAAAAAGAAATATATTCCATCAAAAACCATTCTTAACATTTCTTATGCATTGGAATGGATATTGAATTTTTGAACTCGATGATTTCCATAATCGACAACATAGAGATTGCCGTGTCGATCGAATGACAAACCGATGGGTCGATCGAGTTGGTTCGATTGTTCTCCACTACCGTTTCCATCAACAATGCCACTTCCTTGTGTGGCTCCTTTAGGCCAACTCATGATTCGATCATTCCCCTAATCAGCCACATAGACAGTGCCCAATTGATCGACAACGACTCCTTGAGGACCAGACAATTGTGTAAGATCATTTCCTTTTCCTTGACCACCAGCCACGACAATGCCTTGTTTTGCACCTTCCATCCATTTCATCACACGATGATTGTTCCCATCAGATACGTACACTGAATGATCTCGATCGACGAATACGTATCGTGGGTAAGAGAGTTGATCGAGACGATTTCCACGTCCATTGCCACCTGCAACCACTGTTCCTTGAGATTCTCCTCTTCGATATCGTCTCACTTCAGCTTTTCCATCATCAGTGACATAGAGAGATCCATTCTCGTCCATTGTCAAACCCCTACAATAGATGTTGGAGATGATTGTTTCTCCACTTGTCCCATTTCGACGAGGCCATCGAACCACTCTTCCATTCGAAGTATCGCATATGATGAGACTATCTCTTTCTTTGTCGATAATCACATCATATGGGTTATACAATTGATGATCTCCACTTCCTTGTCCATTTCCACCGGCAACCACTTGGCCACTTGTTGCACCTCGTTTCCATTCCACAATACGATGATTCGATGTATCAGCAACATAGATTGTTTGATCATCATCAACATACAAACCCCATGGGTTTGAGAGTTGATTGATTCCATTGCCTTGTCGATTTCCCGTGACACGACATTTACGCGCGCGACAATTGCGCGCCGACACTTACGCGCCGACATTTACGCGCACGACATATGCGCGCAAGACGTGAACGCGCACGACGCTTGCGCGTAAAATAAAATTTTTTTCGTTCTGTTCTCATCTAATTGAATTACTCATATGTATTAACAGAAATAAAAATGTTCTGTTAGTGAGATTGGATTATTAAGAAAATACATATAAGATACTAATGAGAATCAAAAGATTATCTAATTTTAACATCAAACTTGCTTTTTGCATCAAAATGAGATTAAAACTAGACAAAATAAATCAGATAAAAGTATAAAGAGAAAGTCAAATACAACAATTGTTTGGAATCAAGTTCTTGCTGGCACACACACAAACCAAACGCACAAAATATGAATAAATTGATCTTCGAATACGAAACATGGTCAAAGAATTTCATACTGTTTCAAGGAACGACTATTTTAAAATGGCCAGATCAGTGTTTAATTTCTGAATGACTACGTTCTTTATTCTCAATTATTGTTCACTTAGCGTATTTGTTTGTTTATTCTAAATAAATACTATTTATCTCTGTTAATAATTTATGTCAATATATTTTTTTGAAATTGAGAACTATTTTTCTATCAGCAGTTAAACATAAATTTCCACCCATTCATAATTCAAATCAAATTTAAGAAAAAAAAAATTTATCATCTTTTTCTCAATTCGCGCGCAAGTGTCTATACGCGCAATCGTCGTGCGCGTAAGTGTCATGCGCGCAAATGTCTGCGCGTAAGTGTCGGCGCGCAATTGTCATGCGCGTAAATGTCGGTCAATCTCGATTTCCTCCAGCTACAGTGATACCATTTTGTTGCCATCGAGCATTCGGATGAATGTTGGTGCTGGATGGAGAACGTAATGGATAGTCTAAAATAGCGACAAGAAAAATTATTAAAATAAGAGAAAGAAGTTTTTTATTCATAGAAATCGGATTTTGTTACAAGACGAGAAATAGTTTTTTAGTCAAACTCTCAACTTTGTCAGCAACAACTGTTTTAGTTTAAAATGGTACTTTGTTGAATTCAAAGTTATTCATTGTAATATTTTCAGTCAATCATCCATTATTGCTTTATTTCGCTCTCAGATGTCATCACTCCTATTCTTTTCGAGCATAAATTACAATGAAATAGAGAGTTATGCTTATGATCTATTTTCTAAGACCGTAAAAATAAAGAATCTTTTCGTTGAAAATTGAATAATCATGTTAAACGAAGATCAATTCCGCAGAGATTGCTGTAGAATAACAGTACAGTGGTACTTTTGATTTGCAATTCAAATACCTTACATTATTTCTGTTTTTTATTCGTCAACTACTTTTTATTGGATGGTCTTAGATAGTGTAAAAAGTATGAACTTATGTTATTTTTTCATGTTACTTACAATTACGTTATCATCAGAAAACGATCTTAGAAAGGAATTAATTACATTGGCCACTGAGTAGAGTGACTTTTTTACAGTTTATATACAGATCAAAATGGATCAACACTTCTACAAATTAGATCACGATGAGCAACGAATAAATCTAATTTATTCAGTTTCGCTTGATTTACGACATCGAAAGGTATTTGTCGAAAGTTTAATTTCTTTGACTCACATTCAGAGCCAATTATCCATTAGCCATTAGAAGATATTCATCTAGTCATCTAGCTCAGTTTGTGAAACTTTTTTCAGTGACTAGAGCTGGAATCAAACTGAATTAGTTCAGTTTTGGACTTTGATTGTGAACGAGGTCAAATTTTCTGAATACAAAAAACGAATAATTAGCAAAGTAGAATATATCTTTTGTTTTCTTCATATTTCACATAAACATACGACTAACATGGATTTATTTTCATAATCAACTTGCATTTGGAGAAATTCTATTTCGAAAATAAATAAATTAAAAAAAGTCATACTATGTAATTACATCTTGTATAATGAAAGTTCTATTTAAAAGTTTCAACTAAATTAATCTATTTAGTGTAATAGAATAATAGCAAACATTTGATTGACGAAGAATTAAGAAAAAGAGTTTATTTACATGTTGAAGTCATTGAAATGGAACAAGAAAAGATAAAATTCAATTTTCAATAGTATTGATGTAGTTTAAAATATACAAAAGTGTATTTGTCTTGATGGTATAGTTTTATCATAGCTATTCTTGGGCAGTCGTAATACGAGTTTAGAAATTCTTGCCATCAGTGTTGAAAGATAATATACAAACACGATAAGAAGAAGCATTAAATTTCGTATTTTCTTGATTGCTACCGAAGATAATACTGAGATAAAAGCTAGTAGTTTTATATGATTAGGCTTATAATAGATAAAAAGGAGCAATAATAGAGACAAAACGAAGTTTATTGAGAAATGTAAACAACATTTGAAATGGCAAATTATCTATCAAAAGAACCAACTTCTTTAACCAAATAACTATCAACAAAATTCAGATGAAAGAATGACACACTCGTTCTTAATGAGCATGTCAATAAATGTTGATACTCAAATTTACACCCATTCACCGCTTCATATCGACATCCTCATCAGCTAACATATATTACAAAAACATTGTAGAAGTTATATGATGTTCTTCTTATTGATAAGGACATTAGGAGATTTTTTTGAGAGAATAGTTGACATTTTAGCTTCTGATATAATGAGATACTCCATGCAGAAAAAATACTAGATTTCAAAATGATTTCTTGCCAAGATTATTTCTATAATATATGTAACATCGAGAAATTTTGCAAAACTTTCATCATACCTGTTTATTGTTTATCCTACTATGTGTCTATGACTTGTACCAATTCAAATAATTGAAAGAAGATCTCGAATGCAAACTATTGAGATATAGACGACTACTGGTATTTTATTTAAAGATTTTCGATTGTTCGAATGAAGAACGTTTGTAATGCAAGTTTGTGCTAATGTTAAGACCCTGTTTTCTTTCACGTTCAGCGAAATAGTGATTGTTTTGGAAGAAATCTTCATGATAAGCAAGTTTACTTACAAGTCACAACGATTAGTCATAGTCACTGAATATTTCAATTGATTGCTTTAAGATATTTCAAGAGATCCTTGAAATATCTAGGAATTATGCACTAGTCTTAATGATGAAATATTGAACCACGTGGGTAGATAAGATGTTATTGAAAAATGATGTCCAAGAAACATTCTTTAGTCGAACAGGTAATAAATTAGTGGTGGGTACTTAACTGGTGTCTACTGAAGAATTATAATGTATTTGATTGCTCTTCACTTCAATGTTCTAAAGACAATAAAAGCTTAAAATTTTAACATATGTACTATTTCATATCGACTATAGTATAAAGTAGAAAATTCCAAACTGTTATCAAGTTTGAAATTTACGTGGCAAAATTACTGTAAATTTCATTTTGTTTTGATATTTTCAGAATTTTTATCAGTCAAAAAAAAATCTTAGAAATTTCAATGTAAGTATAATTATTTCTTTTCTTGAAACCTATCGTTTCAAAACTAGTTAAGAAATCAAAAATGTACTAACTTAACATCAACTGAGAATAAGATTATGAGATAGGGTGAGGGCAATGGTATGATTACACCATTAGGATAAAACGATTAGTACTTACCATTGTATTCATGCATGTGCTAATATTAGGGAAATAAGATATCTGATTTTCTCGCGATGATGTCCGCTTGTGTATACTTGTAAAAATTAGCAATCAAAGATCTTGAAAAATTTATTAATCATTTAAGATTTGCTACGACCTCAGTAAAATGATGATTTTTAAAGAAACATAGTAAACTAAGAGTGCTCGACGAACAAAATACAGATAATGATTTATGAACGCTTGAATCTGTTCAACTAATCAAACAACTTTTTCAATAGCTGAATGCTCAAAAACCTAGATTGACGATACAAGTGTTCAAAAACTGTCGTTTCAATTCAAAAGTTTGAAAAGGACACTAACTTTGAAAATATGTAAAATAAATGAAAGATAAAGACAGAAAACGGTACACAGTTATTATACAGCAATCGGCAATACAATCGGGAACTGTCAAAAGAGCAAATGTTGAGTTTTCCATAAGAACATTTTTCTTTGTTATTATCGTTGGAAACAGATCATAAGTTTAACTATCGATTTCATTGTAACTTATGCCAGTGAAGAAATGAAGTGATGTTGTGTCATTGACATTTTGTGTAACAATCCTATGAAGTTATGAGCAAAATAAAGGAAGAATGGATGGTTGACTGAAAATGCAACAATGGATAACTTTTATTTAACTAAAAAAAGAGTTAAAAAAATAATTGTTGTTAACAAAGTTGAGAACTTGACTCAAAAAGAATTCTCGTCCTGTAGCAAAATCTGATTTCTATGAAGAGAAAATTTCTCTCTCTTATTTTAATAATTTTTCTTGTCTCTATTTCAGATTACCCATTACGTTCTCCATCCAGCACCAACATTCATCCGAATGCTCGATGGCAACAAAATGGTATCACTGTAGCTGGAGGAAATCGACAAGGCAATGGAATCAATCAACTCTCAAACCCATGGAGTTTGTATGTTGATAATGATCAAACAATCTATGTTGCTGATCAATCAAATCATCGTATTGTGGAATGGAAACGAGGTGCAACAAGTGGCCAAGTGGTTGCCGGTGGAAATGGACAAGGAAGTGGAGATCATCAATTGAATAACCCATATGATGTGATTATCGACAAAGAGAGAGATAGTCTCATCATATGCGATACTTCGAATAGAAGAGTGGTTCGATGGCCTCGTCGAAATGGGACAAGTGGAGAAACAATCATCTCCAACATCTCTTGTTGGGGTTTCACAATGGACGAGAATGGATCTCTCTATATCACTGATGGTGGAAAAAATGAAGTGAGACGATATCGAAGAGGAGAATCTCAAGGAACAGTGGTTGCAGGTGGCAATGGAAGTGGAAATCGTCTCGATCAACTCTCTTTCCCAACATACGTATTCGTCGATCGAGATCATTCAGTGTACGTATCTGAATGGAACAATCATCGTGTGATGAAATGGATGGAAGGTGCAAAACAAGGCATTGTCGTGGCTGGTGGTCAAGGATATGGAAATGATCTTACACAATTGTCATCTCCTCGAGGAGTCGTTGTCGATCAATTGGGCACTGTCTATGTGGCTGATGCAGGGAATAATCGAATCATGCGTTGGCCTAAAGGAGCCACACAAGGAAGTGTCATTGTTGGTGGAAACGGTAGTGGAGAACAATCGAATCAACTCAATTGGCCCTTCGGTTTGTCATTCGATCGACACGGGAATCTCTATGTCGTTGATTGGGGAAATCATCGAGTACAAAAATTCAATATTGATTCAAATTCTCAACAGTTGTTGAGAGTCAATCTTGTTGATATTCGCTTTTTATCTCCGGCAATGTTCCATCGTATAAACGAGAGTGTGGGTCGGTGTATCTGGTCTGATTGCCTATGTGGATTGTGAAGGTGAATGTTAGCATGTGTGTGGTTTGATGTTACTGAAGCGAAGATCAACACTGGCATTCACTCTTATAGGTTATATGTACATTCAGAGGATTACTCGAGAGCTGAATTGAATGCAGATACTAAATGCAGAATCATAGTTCACCGGAGTAGGAATTGGAGTCAATCAAATAAATTTTAGAGGTGAAGTGAGAGCCGAAGCAAATTATGAGAACTTCAAAGAATCTATTGTATTCTTTTCTCATGTAGAAGTTATATTTGACACTTCGTAACTTTTAATTAACAAACACTCTCAATTCAAAAGAAAAATATCATGAAGTAGAAAAGTAACAAAATGATAAAAGACATTTACACTAGATCAATTTTTAAAAGTGATTACTGCGAATAAAAATTTAGTATCATTCAATATCTCCACTGACTTTAATAAATGTATTTTCACTATCTTCGTGAGTTTTGCTAAACCTATTTTTCACTTGAATTTTCTGTTATTATTGATACTTGATCAAAACTTGGTATCTTTGCTGATGCTTTGTTGGTTGGACGAAGTTGTTCAATGGCACTTATTTTTTCTCAAAAAGCTGCTGTTGATGAAAGCTTGCTGAATATTGTCCTGAGTTTCTCTTGGATTTAATGTTATTTTTAGGTGCTAGTTTAAGGTTGTCGTCTTGTTCTATAATTAAATTGAAAATTTCTCCTCGTGAGAAGTTCTTAGTACATATTACGAATATATATATTTGATCAAGAAAAGGATTTGAAATTGAAAAAGCATTAATTTTTTCCTGTGTAAAAATAAACATAATGGGTGTGACAAAAGTTTCTGGAAAAATGTCACTTCGTTTTTCACCGACTAAAACATGACCTGCATTGAAGGTCTTTTCTAACTGTTTGTTCAAAAAAGTTTTATCTTTGAGTAACGAGGACATCTTTTAATAACACTTAAATGTCGTCTGTCGAAAACAAATCACAATCGTTGCGTTTCAATGAATTGATCTTTAAACAATGTGATATGTATTTCTAGCAGAGTATTAGATGACAAAATCTAATGAACAAATAAGCAACAGTTTACGATGAATTGCATAAGAGAAATTTAAAATCTACTAGAATATCGGTTATTTCTACCACAAAAGTTGCGAGTTACTTTTTAGAGTCCGTGCTTTAGTGTTATTTTAAAATGTGCTCATTACTCAAAGAAAAAACATGATAAAAAGTTTTTGAATATACAGTTAGAAAGTGCTTTTACTGTAGATTTTGCAAGTGTACTTTTGATTTTTTCGAAACATGTTTTAGTTAATGAAAGATGAAGCGATACTTTTTCAGGAACTTTTGCAACATCGATTATGTATTCATTCGCTTACAATAGTCTCAAATAAAATTTAAATTGTGATAATGCTATGATTTTAATTCATATAATATCGCGGTATAGTTAAGATGCCTCCGATTTATGAGAAGGAATTTCAAAATTTAAAGGAGTTAGAACCTGAGTCCATGTTGAAAACAAAGATTTTCACAACGCAGTCGGAATTTTGTAGAATTTTTCAAGTTGAAGTAAAAAAATTAACACCAATTTGACTTATTTTCATATGATTTTCTTTCTTTTTCTGTTTCATAAATATATTCAGCTGACAAA